TTTGGAGAATAAGTTGACCCCCCCCCCTCTTCTTTGTGGCAGCCCCTCAAATACTCGAAGACTGCTATCATGTCCCTCCTGGTCACTTTTTATTTGTTTTGTTGTTTCGTGTGTTTAATGTTGCACGCTGCTCAGCGTCACCTACGTGAGATGGACAGCTATGAAAATTTGCCAGTAAATAAATATGTGTTGATTCTTGGTGTGACTTGCTTCAGAAACTCACAAAACTCCACCATCCTGATGAGCCATCCTAGCAGACATTGCACAACTTAGGACAGGGGTCTTCAAACGTGGCCCTTTTATGAGGCTGGCTGAGGAATTCTGGGAGTTGAAGTCCACAAGTCATAAAAGGGCCAGGTTTGAAGACCCCTGATATAGACTTTAAGAAGAGTAGACTTCAACTCCCAGAATTCCTTAGCCAGCGTGCCTGGCTGAAGAATTCTGGGATAGAATCAAGATCACGTGAAATATTAATACCACTTTACAAGGCCTTGGTAAGGCCACACTTGGAATACTGCATCCAGTTTTGGTCACCACGATGTAAAAAAGATGTTGAGACTCTAGAAAGAGTACAGAGAAGAGCAACAAAGATGATTAGGGGACTGGAGGCTAAAGCATATAAGGAACGGTTGCTGGAATTGGGGATGTCTAGTTTAATGAAGAGAAGGATGAGGGGGGACATGATAACAGTCTTCCAGTATCTCAGGGGATGCCCCAAAGAAGAGGGAGTCAAGCTATTCTCCAAAGCGCCTGAAGGCAGGACAAGAAGCAACGGATGGAAACTCATCAAGGAGCGAAGCAACTTAGAACTAAGGAGAAACTTCCTAACAGTGAGAACAATTAACCAAAGGAACAACCTGCCTCCAGAAGCGGTAAATACTCCAACACTGGAAGTTTTTAAGAAGAGACTGGACAGCCATTTGTCCGAAATGGTATATAGGGTTTCCTGCCTGAGCAGGGGGTTGGACTAGATGACCTCCAAGATCCCTTCCAACTTTATTATTATTATTATGGATCATCGCACAGTCAGCCAGATGTTCAGACTGGATTTGGCATTTTGTCTACCTATCGAGTCCTTACCCAGGACCTGGGATAGGCAGATGTGGATGTTTGATGGTATTACAGATATCGTCGCAGGATGGAAGCGGTTCCTAGTAAGGCCGCCTTTTGCAGGGGGTTGGACTAGATGACCTCCGAGGTCCCCTCCAACTTTATTATTATTATTATTGATCATTGCAGTCAGCCAGATGTTCAGACTGGATTTGGCATTTTGTCTATCTATCGAGTCCTTCCCAAGGACCTGGGATAGGCAGATGTGGATGTTTGATGGTATTACAGATATCGTCGCAGGATGGAAGCAGTTCCTAGTAAGGCCGCCTTTTGCAATATTATTATTATTATTATTATTACTATTACTATTATTATTAATTATTATTATTATTATTATTATTATTATTATTATTATTATTATTATTATTATTATTATTATTATTATTATTATTATTATTATTATTATTATTATTATTATTATTATTATCATTATTATAAACAAAGAAAGTCCAGTTGCCTCTTGAAAAACACCTTTGGAACAAGCAACTCATCCCCTCTAGCTTCCTGTGTGGGAAGAATGCAGGAGAGCTGCAGGTGTATAAATGCTTGCAATTTGCTTCTCAGCATCCCGGGTTGGAACAGAGCATCTCCAAGCTCCACCCACCCACCCCTTGGCTCCGCCTTTCCCTTGGCCCCACCTCCTCCCCTAGAACGCATAAAAGCTGCTCGGTCCCAGCTGCATCCATCCTTCAGCCAGAGAGCATCCTTCTTCTGCACAGGTGAGTCATCCGGCCCCTTTTCTTCCCCGATTCACAATTTGGTCTTTCTTTGACCACGTCAGTCTTGCTGAATTTCTTAAAGGGGAACAGAGCTTATTTTAATTGGGCCTGTTGGACGAGGGAGCTTATTCAGAATTTCTATTTCTATTTTCTTTTCTTTCTTTTTTTAATCTTTGTACAGCGGGGTTTGGTTGTCTAACTCTAACCGATTTCCCTCTGTTTGGTGTCCTTGGGTTGAGTTTTGAAGGTGTTCAGAAGTTGAAATGTGGGCGGTAAAAGAGAAAGGAGGCGTGATTCTGGCACCTCAGTGGAACATCCTGCCTCCAGAAGTGGTGAATGCTCCAACACTGGAAGGTTTTAAGAAGAGACTGGACAGCCATTTGTCTGAAATGGTATAGGGTTTCCTGCCTGAGCAGGGGGTTGGACTAGATGACCTCCAAGGTCACTTCCAACTATTCTATTCTATTCTATTCTATTCTAAACACCTGAACTTTTTAAGAAGAGACTGGACAGCCATTTGTCTGAAATGGTATAGGGTTTCCTGCCTGAGCAGGGGGTTGGACTAGATGACCTCCAAGATTCCTTCCAACTATTCTTTTCTGTTCTTTTTCTATTCTATTCTATTCTATTCTATTCTATTCTATTCTATTCTATTCTAAAATTCTATTCTATTCTATTCTAAAATTCTATTCTATAATTCTATTCTATTCTATTCTATTCTATTCTATTCTGTTCTGTTCTGTTCTGTTCTGCTCTGCTCTATTCTATTCTATTCTATTCTATTCTATTCTATTCTATTCTAAAATTCTATTCTATAATTCTATTCTATTCTATTCTAAAATTCTATTCTATAATTCTATTCTATTCTATTCTATTCTTATTTCTTATTCTATTCTATTCTATTCTAAAATTCTATTCTATAATTCTATTCTATTCTATTCTGTTCTGTTCTGTTCTGTTCTGTTCTGCTCTATTCTATTCTATTCTATTCTATTCTATTCTAAAATTCTATTCTAAAATTCTATTCTATTCTATTCTATTCTATTCTATTCTATTCTATTCTATTCTAAACACCTGAACTTTTTAAGAAGAGACTGGACAGCCATTTGTCTGAAATGGTATAGGGTTTCCTGCCTGAGCAGAGGGTTGGACTAAGTAACCTCCAAGGTCCCTTCCAAGTTGTTGTTGTTGTTGTTGTTGTTGTTGTTGTTGTTGTTCTTCTTCTTCTTCTTCTTCTTCTTCTTCTTCTTCTTCTTCTTCTTCTTCTTCTTTTTCATCATCATCATCATCATCATCATCATCATCATCATCATCATCATCATCATCATTATTATTATTATTATTATTATTATTATTATTATTATTATTATTATTATTATTATTATTATTATTATCTATAAAGAGAGCAGAAAACATAGCAGTGGTTATATTGGGAGAGCCCAGTGTTTGATCCATTGAGAGCAGGATGTGTTTTTGTTTCACATTTGCAGAACACATAAGAAAGGTATAATTTCTGAAGATGTAAATGCCATTTCTGTTTTGTGGTCTTTACGGATTGTCTCAGTTGTTTTGGAGTATGCTCAAAATGAGGGAGGGATAATAAATTTCACTTTAATCTGTTTTTCAACAAATCAGGGTTTCTCAACCTTGTCAACTTTCAGCTTATTTGCAAAGTTATGAAAGAGCATGAACATTGCTATTTTGGCCCATCTTTCAAGGTAGGTCCAGTCTTCAGATCCGTTATGTTTTTGAGCAGTTCAAAATGTGGCAGTTTTCCTTATGGGTAATGTGCAAGCCCATCTTCTATTAGCTATAGAACAGTGATGGCGAACCTTTTAGAGGCCGAGTGCCCAAACTGCAACCCAAAACCAACGTATGCATCGTTGGGTGTCGGGTGGGAGTGGCCCATTGGGTGGGCGTGGCTGCAGTGGTAACAGCAGACTGAGTGGGACTAAAAGGTTCAATCAATCAATTCCAACTTTGCGAGATCTTTTTTTTCCCACGAGAAGTTGAAATTGACTGATTGAACCTTTTTTTTTTTTTTGCACATGGCAGAGGCGTAAAGCGAAAAGGTTTTATAAAACCCAGCTGAAGGCCTAGGACTGGGGCGACGGTGCGCGTGCCCACAGGGATGGCTCCGAGTGCCGCCTCTGGCACCCGTGGCATAGGTTCGCCAGCACTGCTATAGAAGATATATACACACATATATATATATGTATAAGAGGCATAGAATCAAAATCACGCGATGAGGCATAGAATCAAAATCGCGTGAAGTATTAGTACTGCTTTATAAAGCCTTAAGACCACATCTGGAATACTACATCCTTGCAAAAAAGATGTTGAGACTTTGGAAAAAGTGCAGAGAAGAGCAACAAAGATGATTTAAGAGCCTGGAGATTAAAACATATGAAAAACAATTGCAGGACTTGAGTATGGGCAGCCTAGAGAAAAGAAGAAATAGGAGAGACACGATAGCAGCCTTCCAGTATCTCAGGGGCTGCCCCAAAGAAGAGGGAGTCAAGCTATTCTCCAAAGCCCCTGAAGGCAGGAGAAGAAGCAACGAATGGAAACTAATCAAGGAGAGAAGCAACCTAGAACTAAGGAGAAACTTCCTGACAGTTAGAACAATTAACCAGTGGAACAGCCTGCCTCCAGAAGCGGTGAATGCTCCAACACTGGAAGTTTTTAAGAGGAGACTGGACAGCCATTTGTCTGAAATGGTATAGGGTTTCCTGCCTGAGCAGGAATGACTAGATGACCTCCAAGGTCTCTTCCAACTTTATTATTATTATTATTATTATTATTATTATTATTATTATTATTATTATTATTATTATTATTATTATTATTATTATTATTATTATTGTTGTTGTTGTTGTTGTTGTTGTTGTTGTTGTTGTTTTGTTGTTGTTACTATTATTATTATTGTTGTTGTTGTTATTATTATTATTATTATTGTGATAATCCTTCACACCGCAAGGGACTTCTCTTCATAAACCACACATGAACAAATTTGTCACACAATGCAAGAAGACTTTTATTCATTTAGAGCTGGTTTTGGGGTAGAGTATTTACATCTTATTCTTAAACGGTTATAGGCTTTGGGTCACTTTAGGGCTGCTTCGGGTTCTAAGCCCGTTACGCCAACGGAAACGCCGGCTCTCCGACACCTTAATAAAATTGTGGTTTTTCTTGTTGTTGCTTGTTTGCCAGGTGCATCAGTCGGAGAAGGAGATCTCCGGCCGAGCTGTCCAACATGGTCAAATTCCTTTCCGGAGACATCCGTCCTCTCTCGCCGTTCTCATTTCCGCAGGCAACATCGGACACGCAGCTCTCTGTGAAAAGATGGGAAGGAGAAGAACCCGCTGAGTTTTGGCATTGCCCGCCATGCCTCCAAGGTCAGTCCCAGACAGGTAGTCAAGAAGAACATGCGCTGCAAATGGGGTGGGGCAGTTGATAAACGAGGGCTACCTTTACAGAAGAGGAAAAGGATGATTTTAACTTGCTGAAATCATTTCAGACGCCTCAAACTTTAACGCCCAGGACTATCGGGAGTTCTGGGAGTTGAAGTTCAACACATCTGGAGGGCATCTGGTTAGAGAACGGAATGCTTTAGGGCAGGGCTTTTCAACCTTTTCACCCATTGTACCACTTTTAGGATATGGCAATATCCGAGTACCACCAGTCGCCTAGCAAGGTGTCAAAAACTTGGTGACCAAAAAAGAAAAACAGAAAAAAGTGATAAAGTGCAGGTAGTCCTCGACTTACAACAGTTCGTTTAGTGACTGTTCGAAGTTACAATGGCACTGAAAAATGTGCCCTCCAAGCCACAGCCGAGCAAGACACCTACCTGCCCGCCCGCCTGGCAGCGCTCTTCCTCCTGTCCGAGGTTTCCATTGTTGTGACCATTTCTGTTGAGGATTGGCAGCGGGGGTGGGGTGGGAGGGGTGTTTGGTTTTTATTCCCCCCCCCCCGTCTGCTGGGTGGTTGCAGCAGATTTTGGTCACTTCACAAGACCCTGGGACACTGTGACCGTCATAAATATGAATCAGTTGCCAAGCATCTGAATGTAAATCACAAGACCCTGGAGAGGCTGCAACATTCCAGCTGATCGGTGCTTCTTCTGGACTCAGCAGAAGCACCAGGATCAGTGCCGAGCTCCAGCTGGAGCCTGGCACTGATCCTGGCGCTTCCGCTGAGCCCTGACATCCCTGCAGCTCCAGCCATCTCTCGCTCAGGCTTGTGCGGTGCTGCCACCGGTTCAGCTCATTCCCCTCCCTCACTACCACTTTTCTAGGATGGTCGCGTACCACCTGCCAGGTGCCAATGTACCACAGGTGATACCCGTACCACTAGTTGAAAAGCCCTGCTTTAGGGCTTCAGAGAGAAAAAAATATAACAATTCACAGCACCAATCAACCTAAACTTTGGCTGAGGATGTGTGCAATTAAATCTTTTTACAACTTGTCTGATATTTCTTTTTCTCTCCACTTCCCCTTTCTTCCCCACTCCTGTTTTCACCCCCCCAAATTAATACCATCATTGCAGCAAATGCCAGGGGCCGCGCATCGCCCGCCTGCACCGCAGGGCTTCCCACCAGCCTCGCAGGGAGAAGGGAGAAAGTTCTCCTCCAAGCACCGCAGAGTCTCCGAAGTCCCAAAATGGCAGCCCATCTCTTCTCCACAACAGATGTTGGGCCCGAAGCACTTTCCTCTGTTGCCAGGGCCGCAAGGGATACACTAAAAGAGAGGAGAGAAAGGGAAAAAGAAGAGGATTCACATCTGGAGGCATCCGTTCCTGTTAAGCTGCCGTAGTTCCTTCCTGGTGCTAAATCCCAAAACATTAAGGTAGACTGCTGCTCAGCCTGGAGGTTCCCTAAATGGCCACTAATCTCCCGTGCAATTTTTCAAGCGTCTTTCGAACATGGTGTGACCTTCAAATGCCAGGAACACTCATACCCAACAGTAAGCCTGACCAAGACACACATTGCAGAGAAAGCAAAAACGATAAAATGAAAAAGTGGCAAGTGATCAGGAGAGCAATCCATCCTTTGAGGGTGGCTGCTTTAAGAGGCAGTTTGGTCTAGTGGTGGTGAAGGCACCAGTTGGGTGACTTTGGGCCACTCACCAGGAGACGGTGAGTTCTAGTCTCACCTGAGGCATGAAAGTTGGCAACTGTTCCTTATATGTTTTAGCCTCCAGTCCCCTGATCATCTTTGTTGCTCTTCTCGGTACTCTTTCTAGAGTCTCAGCATCTTTTTTACATTGTGGTGACCAAAACTGGATGCCGTATTCCAAGTGTGGCCTTACCAAGGCCTTGTAAAGCGGTATTAACTCTTCACCTGATCTTGATTCTATCCCTCTGTTAATGCAGCCCAGCACTGTGTTGGCTTTTTTGGCAGCTGCAGCACACGGCTGGCTCATATTTAAGGGATCGTCCACTAGGACTCCGAGGTCCCTCTCACAGTTGCTACTATTGAGCAAGATACCCCTATACCAGGGGTAGGCAACCTTGGCTCTTTTATGACTCGTGGACTTCAACTCCCAGAATTCCTGAGCCAGCCACGCTGAGGGGAAAGGGAGAGGTTTCCAAGCTGAGCCATGCTGGCTCAGGAATTCTGGGAGTTGAAGTCCACGAGTCATAAAAGAGCCAAGGTTGCCCACCCCTGCCCTATATCAGGGGTCCTCAACCTTGGCAACTTTAAGACTTGTGGACTTCAACTTCCAGAATTCCTGAGCCAGCATGGGGGAACTATGGCCCCCTCATGACTCATGGACTTCAACTCCCAGAATTCCTCAGCCAGCATGGCTCAGCTTGGAAATCTCTCCCTTTCCCCTCAGCATGGCTGGCTCAGGAATTCTGGGAGTTGAAGTCCACGAGTCATAAAAGAGCCAAGGTTGCCTACCCCTGGGCTAGACGTACTTACTTCCCTCAACCGTTCGTCATATGATGGAGCCTCCAGATCCTTCCTTATCTTTACGGATATCAGTGTCTATGGAGACTCTCAACCGTCCAGGTCATGATTGTCCCAAAGGTGCTTGTCAAAGTTTTCTTGAAAACACTTCACTTCTTGGACAACCGTTTGTCCGAAATGGTATCGGGTCTCCTGCTTGAGCAGGGGGTTGGGCTTGAAGACCTCCAAGGTCCCTTCCAACTCTTGTTCTCCTCCTCCTCCTCCTCCTCCTCCTCCTCCTCCTCCTCCTCCTCCTCCAAGAAGCTTCTTCAGTTCTTTCGTGGCAAACCGAGAAAGCCGGGGGCAGAACTGAAGAAGCTCCGTGGGCGAGAAACGTTTCCTGAGTTTATAAAGTTTCATTAGATGATAGAATAAGAGGCAAAAAGTTACAAAAGCAAATCCTAGGACAGCGGGGGGAGGGAAAAGGGGAAAGGAAAGTGAGGAGGAGAGAGGGGAAAGAAAAAAGAAAAGAGAAGAGAAACGTAAAGAGAAAAGAAAAGAGAAAAGAGAAGAAAAGAGATAAGGAAAGGAGAGGAGATGAAAGGAAAGGAAGGGAAGGGAAGGAAAGGAGAGGAGAGGAGAGGAAAGGGGAGGAAAGGAAAGGAAAGGAGGAAGGGAGGAGAGGAGAGGAGAGGAAAGGAAGGAGAGGAGAGGAGAAAAAGGGAGGAGAGGAAAGGAAAGGAAGGGAAGGAAAGAGAGGAGAGGAGAAGAGAGGAGAGGAGAGGAAAGGAAAGGAAAGAGGAAAGGAAGGAAAGGAAAGAGAGAAAAGGAAAGGAAAGGAAGGAGAGGAGAGGAAAGGAAAGGAAAGGAAGGAAAGAGAAAAGAGGAGAGAGGAGAGGAGAGGAAAGGAAAGAGGAAAGGAAGGAAAGGAAAGAGAGGAGAGGAAAGGAAAGGAAAGGGAGGAGAAGAGAGGAAAGGAAAGGAAAGGAAAGGGAGGAGATGAGAGGAGAGGAAAGGAAAGGAAATGGGGGGGGGGGAGGAGGAAAACGTTTTCAAACAAACAAACAAACAAACAAACCAACAAAGTCCAGTTACCTTTTTTGGGGAAAAAACACACCTTTGGGATTTAACGGTACAGCTTAGGTCTCCCACGGGTATGAATGCATGCCGGACTTCTATTTTGCAAATAAGGGTGGGGGGGGGGGGAGGCAGGAAGGCTAAATGCAAACACCTGGGATGCTTTTTCTCCTTACCTGTCGGATTTCTGCATCGGGCATGGACCTCTTTCCTCCTCGGGGGCAGTTCTGGATGTAGCAGGCTGAAGACCAGGTGAGAAGGCAAAAGAGGGACACCGCAAAGACCCCGGCAGGCATCTTCAAAGGCTTGGCAACTGGGCGCGCTCCTGTTGTCTTTTGCCTTCTTGCTGTTTGTGTCTCGTTCCTGGCTGCATCCCGGCCCCGTATTTATATCGTTCGCATCAATTATATTTGGAGCCCTGTAACGCTGCGCCCCCCAACATTGCTAGAGGTGGGGGGGCTCTCCGGCCCCCTCCCTCCGCAGACCTCCCACCCACGAGCCGCCCTCCGAGCGAGGCCCATAATTGAGCCATTTGGTGCCAAGAGCTGTTCATTTCTCCCAAGGCTCCGCTGAATTGTCAGCCAATTATTTTTTTTAATCAGGGCATCGTCAACATTGTGAGTCGGATGCGGAGACGAGGTTGGCTGGCAGCGACGAGAAATAAAATCAGGGTGGTTTTTTTTCTCTCTGTCCAAAATCTTTTTTTTTTTTTATTAATTGTTTTCCCCTCTCCCCTGGCAGGGATGTTGTTATTTTACGAAGGCTGAAAACCTTCGTCAACATCGCTAGGTTGACTGCGAAAGGCCTCCAAGTCTTCCCCCGCTTTTAAAAAGCATATGCCATGCTTGGAAGCCACGTCTGGCACGGTCCTATTCTCCGAAGGATTAAAAGTTCGGCCTAAGTTTTGTGTTCTGGAAAAGCTCCCTTGGCTTAAAACTGGCTCCCGTCGTCGTCCCGAAGGTGCTTTTTTTTTCAAGAGGCAACTGGACGTCCTTGTTCTTCTTTGCAGAGATTTCGCTTCTCCTCCACGGAGCTTCTTCGGTTCGGGTTCGTTTTTGGTAAACTGAAGAAAGTCAGTTGCAGAGCGGAAGAAGCTTCTTGGAGGAGAAGCGAAAGGTCTTCAAAGAAAAACAAGAAAGTCCAGTTGCCTTCTGAAAAAAAGCACCTTTGGGACAACTGGATTACCTGGGTGACTGAGAATCTCGATGGACACTTAGAATAGAACAGAATAGAAAATAGAATAGAATAAAGAATAAAGAATAGAACAGAACAGAGTAAAGAATAGAATAGAAATTAGAATAGAATAGAATAGAATAGAATAGAACAGAATAGAATAGAAATTAGAATAGAATAGAATAGAGAATAAGAATAGAATAGAATAGAATAGAGTAGAAATTAGAATAGAATAGAATAGAAAATAGAATAGAACAGAATAGAAAATAGAATAGAATAAAGAATAAAGAATAGAACAGAACAGAAGAGAACAGAGTAGAGAATAGAATAGAAATTAGAATAGAATAGAATAGAATAGTAATTAGAATAGAATAGAATAGAAATTAGAATAGAATAGAATAGAATAGAGAATTAGAATAGAATAGAATAGAAATTAGAATAGAATAGAATAGAAATTAGAATAGAGTAGAATAGAACAGAATAGAAATTAGAATAGAATAGAATAGAGAATAAGAACAGAACAGAATAGAATAGAATAGAAATTAGAATAGAATAGAATAGAGAGTTAGAATAGAATAGAATAGAATAGAAATTAGAATAGAATAGAATAGAAATTATAATAAAATAGAATAGAATAGAATAGAACAGAAATTAGAATAGAATAGAATAGAAATTAGAATAGAATAGAAATTAGAATAGAATAGAATAGAATAGAGAATTAGAATGGAATAGAATAGAATAGAATAGAATAGAAATTAGAATAGAATAGAATAGAATAGAATAGAAATTAAAATAGAATAGAATAGAATAGAATAGAATAGAATAGAATAGAATAGAATAGAATAGAACAGGGAAAGTTAGGGTTAGTTCCTAAGTCATTGACCTAGAATAGAATAGAGCTGGAAGGGACCTTGGAGGTCTTCTAGTCCAGCCCCTTGCTCAAGCAGGAGAACTACACCATTTCAGACAGGTGATTGTCCAATCTCTTGTTAAAAATCTCTAGTGATGGAGTGCTCACTGGTTGATTAACTCACACCTTCCTTCCTTCCTTCCTTCCTTCCTTCCTTCCTTCCTTCCTTCCATACTTACTTACTTTTCCTATTTCTGAACTGCCCGTCTCCCTTAAAGGTTTCTTCCTTACCTATCGTTATGTGATGTTCTAATGCTTTTAAGTTAACATTCTAATAGTCCCTTATTTATTTATGCATTTGTATTCTGGCATTATTATTTTTACAAATAGCTCGAGGTGGCGGATATATCCAATGTATCTTCCTCCTCCTATTTTCCCCACAACAACAACAACAACCCTATGAGGTGGTTGGGCTCAGAGAGAAGGACTGCCCCAAAGTCACCCAGTTGGGTTTTCATGTCTAAGGCAGGATTAGAACTCACCCTCCCCTCTGGTGATTGGCCCAAAGTCACTCAGCTGGCTGTCATGGCTAAGGCGGGACTAGAACTCACCATCTCCTGGTGATTGGCCCAAAGTCACTCAGCTGGCTGTCATGGCTAAGGCGGGACTAGAACTCACTGTCCCCTGGTGATTGGCCCAAAGTCACTCAGCCGGCTTTCATGCCTAAGGCGGGACTAGAACTCACCGTCCCCTGGTGATTGGCCCAAAGTCACTCAACTGGCTGTCACGGCTAAGGCGAGACTAGAACTCACCGTCCCCTGGTGATTGGCCCAAAGTCACTCAGCTGACTGTCATGGCTATTTTCTATTCTTTTCTATTTTCTCTCCGCCCTTCCTTTCCCTTCCCTTCCCTTCCCTTCCCTTTTATTCCATTCCATTCCATTCCATTCTTCTTCCCTCTATTCTTACTCCTATTCTTATCCCTTTTTCTATAGCTGCCCACAACAAGCAAGCGACTCTTTTAGGCTCTTGGGTGAAAGGAGTTCCATACGTCTTGTGAACACAAAACAGGTCAACCCGAGCCATTGTGTGAACACGACGATTGGTGACATCTCCAACCCCTCTTTTGTGGCCAGGCCAAAAAGATGGGGAGAAGGACCGGGGGGGGGGTTGAGGGGGCTCCTGGCAATATTTCAAACCATCCTCCACACACACCTGACGTCAGCCAAATAGCTGCAGCGATCTTCTGCCAAGCTGCAGATGGAAATTCCTTTGGCTCGGCATGACGAGGAACGTGGGACTCTTTGGCTGCAGCCCCAAAATTCCCCCTGCGCCCGTTTTCCCATCTGTGTAGGACAAGAGACTTCCAGGAGTGGCTTTGAAGGAAGAGTTCCTCCTTTTTTCTCCTACGTTTCGTTCTGGAAAAAACACAGTTTACGCAGAAGAGTCCGGCCTCACTTCTTCCCAGCTTTAGGGATATAATAATAATAATAATAATAATAATAATAATAATAATAATTAATAATAATAATAATAATAATAATAATAATAATAATAGTAGTAGTAGTAGTAGTAGTAGTAGTAGTAGTAGTAGTAGTAGTAGTAGTAGTAGTAGTAGTAAAGTTGGAAGGGATCTTGGAGGTCATCTAGTCCAACCCCCTGCTCAGGCAGGAAACCCTATACCATTTCAGACAAATGGATGTCCAGTCTCTTCTTAAAAGCTTCCAGTGTTGGAGCATTCACCGCTTCTGGAGGCAGGTTGTTCCACTGGTTAATTGTTCTAACTATCAGGAAGTTTCTCCTTAGTTCTAAGTTGCTTCTCTCCTTGATCAGTTTCCATCCGTTGCTTCTTGTCCTGCCTTTAGGCGCTTTGGAAAATAGCTTGACTCCCTCTTCTTTGGGGCAGCCCCTGAGATATTGGAACACTGCTATCATGTCCCCCTTTGTCCTTCTCTTCGTTAAACTAGACATATCCAATTCCAGCAGCCGTTCCTTATATGCTTTAGCTTCCAGTCCCCTGATCATCTTTGCTGCTCTTCTCTGCACTCTTTGCTGATCAGCAACCAAAAAAGCTAATACAATCCTGGGTTGTATAAACAGAGGTATAGAATCAAGATCACGCGAAGTATTAGCACCGCTTTATAAAGCGCTAGTGAGACCACACCTGGAATACTGCAGCCAATTTTGGTCACCATGTCACAAAAAAGACGTTGAGAGTTTGGAAAAAATTCAGAGAAGAGCAGCTAAGATGATCCAAGGCCTGGAGACTAAAACATACGAAGAACGGCTGCAGGACTTAGGTTTGTCTAGTCTAAAGAAAATAAAAAATAGGGGAGACATGACAGCAGCATTCCAGTATTTGAGGGGCTGCCGCAAAGAGGAGGGGGTCACGTTATTCTCCAAAGCACCAGAGGGAAGGACGAGAAACAATGGTTGGAAACTGATCAAAGAGAGAAGCAACCTGGAATTAAGGAGAAACTTCCTGACAGTGAGGACAATCAACCAGTGGAACAGCTTGCCTCCAGAAATCGTGGGCGCCCCATCACTGGAAATTTTCAAGAAGAGACTGGACAATCACCTGTCTGAGATGGTGTAGGTTCTCCTGCTTGAGCAGGGGGCTGGACTAGAAGACCTCCAAGGTCCCTTCCAGCTCTATTCTATTCTAGGTCGAGACTTGATAATAATATAATAATAATAATGATAAAGTTGGGAGGGACCTTGGAGGTCATCTAGTCCAACCCCCTGTTCAGGCAGGAAACACTATACCATTTCGGACAAATGGCTGTCCAGTTTCTTCTTAAAAACTTCCAGTGTTGGCGCATTCACCGCTTCTGGAGGCAGGTTGTTCCACTGGAGGCAGGTTGTTCAGGAACTTTTCCTAACTGTAGGAAAACAACAGAGTGGGCTTAGGATTGCATTCACGTTGCTTGCCTTCTTGTGATTACACCTCCAGGCTATCGAAACCGCCCCACCTCCCATCCCTCATCCCTCCATCCTGATTCTTTTCAACCGAGCTAAACTCTCCCTGCGGTGCAGGTCCCCAAGGAAAGACATTGCAGGCCGGATGCCAGCGGGGAAGGACCCGCGGATGTGCCATGAATATGCAGAAGGGCATCTGGCAAAGCGTAAAGACGTCAGCCAGGTCACCCTCGGAGGGCTGGCAGCTGCCCAGGATGGTCGAATCCACAGGCTTCTTTCCTTTAGGTCTGGAGTAGCAATTCTCCAAGGTGGCCGTGATGGTTGAATTAAGTCTGGAGAAAAACAGCAAACGAGA